CTGGATTTGACATCCAATATTATATGTCCCTCAAGCAGAGGTGGTATTCAGCAGGTTCTTACTGGTCCAGGTGAATTGGTAGTGGTGGCTGCTGGGGGGTCTGCCCACCCGCTCCGATATAATGCACGACCTTCCGTGCATTTGCTCACATTTGCGAACCAGTAGCAAAGGTAAATGAATCCCACCACTGCTCTCAATGCATATGTCTTACCTGGCACAAGCTCTCCCACTCTTCCGAAGAAAAGATACCATTGTCCTTGCAGCAAAGATAAAAGGAAATTCTGTTCCAATTAAAGTATTTCCATCTAAAATAAAGTGAAAAGGTACGCTCATCGTACTTGTATTTTACTTATGAACCTTTCATTTTTGAGACAACTTCATTTAGTTTTACTATATTTCTTAGTCCAACAACCAATTTCAGTGAGTTACTTGCTTCAGTGAAATAATTCAGTTAGATCGACCAATCATTCAAATCAATTTAGCACTGGTTCATCAAGATGTAATCTACCTATACATAAAATATAGATTTCACAGTGTTATACCTCCATTATATCATTTTTTTCTATACATGTGTACATATGTTTCTTTTATACATGATACCAATGTGGAAATGTTGCGAATATGATAATTGTATTAAAAAACTAAAAAAACTGTTCAATAAAAATGAAAATAGTTTTAAAAATATAGATTTTAATAATATAAAATCATATCCTATTCACCAGGACAAAACTGATCATTAAGACCTCAAAGCAGGACATGAAGTGAGGTCTTTCAATTATAGTCTCCTGCTATGAAATTTGTACCACCATGCATCTTATTTTAGGTGTTTTGTGAAACATTTTTTTTTTGATATAGCATTTCTTTACTTTTTTGGATATTTTGTTACTTTACAAGTTGTCAACTTAAGTGCTATAGATGGTTATTCTTTATTCTATTATTAATATTTTCATAATAATAATTTCCAAACCATCTCTGGATTTGTTTTGTAGCAGCAATGTAGTATACACATTTTAATGCATATAGCGAACAGCATCTGGGAAGTTTCATATAATTGGTTTATTATCTGAAAGCAAACATTATCTCATGTTTGAACAACTGCTGGAAACAACATTAAAGCTGAAAAATTGGTACATTTTAAGCAATCAGAATTGATTGATGGCTATTTAAATCTATGCATTATGTGACGTTGAAATCATTCCATTGATAATGTCAACAGGATTGGAAACATGTCTGAAGAAAATGATTTCTAGGTTTTAAATTATGAATGAAGGCATGTTATTTTTTAAAAAAATGTTCATTTTGAACCCAGAACTAGACATTTATACTAGATTCAACTTGATTAAAAAGTTTTCTCAGCATAATCTACCTCATAGAGTAGTTGGGAGGATAAAATGGGGCAGGTAGAACTTTGCATACTTCTTCTGTACCTTGAGCTCTCCAAAACAAAAGTGAAATATCTAAAAACAAAAACAAATACCTCCCCTTTTGTTTTTCCTTGAGCATTCTGAATGAGAGGTACTTTAGGCATATCACTGACAACCAATTACAGGCATATTTTATTTTCTTTTAACTTCAGAAACAGCCAATGCTTAATTTTGCCACAAACAAGTAAGCCGCTCTTAGGGTCTTACATTAGGAATAAGTTCTAAATATATTTGAGATCTATGCAAAGATTTATTATAATTGGCCCTGCTTTGGTTTCACAAAACTCCACTGCTAAAATGCTGAATGTTGATCTGATAAGGATGTACCATTTGCATTACACTAATTAGGAAGCAATTGTAATCTCAGTTTCATTAAAAAAACAAACCCTCTGTAGGTCTTTGAAAAACACCGATAATGTATTTTCTGAATTCAGCTGGTTGAATATAACTTCTCACTTTAAATATGAACTGAAGAAGACATGTAGTGAGCCATTACAAAGGCCCACTAATTCTAGCTTCAAACCTATTAGAAAGGTCAACCAAATTCCCTAAGAAGGAAAGCAAACCTTTTTTATTTTGCTGCTTTTCATCACATTATCTCTACATGTGGTGTTCTTATGTACAATAGAAAATACAAAGCATTTAAATAAAACACAGGATTGGCATATGCTGCATACAGCAGTTTTCTTTGACATGTTGAATATATAAAGTTATTATCCAATTATATGTAACAATACATCAGACACTTCAGGTATTTCTTTGGTCATATATACATATATTTTGATGCTGATTGCATCCTTTAGAAAAGTAAACATTGACTTTATACAGGAATTCAGTGCCATTCATTTTGACAGGATGAAGTCTGTTTATGACAATGATAAATGAGGAACAAAAAAATCATCCAACCTGATCTGGCTGAAAGGTCTCCTGTAATGAAGAGATAATTTGCTGCCTTGATATTGAAAATTACTAGTGAAGCAAAATTTTAACTTGGTTTTGAATATCAATTATAATAGAACTTCCCCAAATACTTTTTAAAATGATGGGATGGGAAGATAAATTCTACAATGAAGGAGTTAGGAGATATCTACAGATATAGCAAGTTTTCTAACATGCTAATTTCTAGTTGATCAACGAAGGGAATGTTAATATGCCATTTTTGTACTTAAGCAATCAGGAAGCATTGGAAAATATTTTTCCAAGTCCTCTTCTAAGCATGAGAATTGAACACTGCCAGAATTGTTTTCTTCTTACAGTTTACAGTTTGAAGCGATGAAGTCATAGTTGTAGTTGGCTGAATATTTTAGCCCTAAGCGGAGACACAGTCCCAAATTATGATCAGAAGAACTGAAGACTATAGACAACTTTTGGTTAATTTTTCCAGAAAGTAAGGCCCAGAGCGAAAGAATTGGCAAAACACTCATCCACTTCTGTCCTCCATGGTAAGGAATCACCACTCATCACCACTCTACTTGCAATGCTGCTCTATGGAGGAAAATCTGTTTCTGCTTTTATCTCAGGTTTTATTCTATAGTCCCATCTAGTACAAATAATGGATCAGCTGTTATATATAAATGCAGCAGCATCATGAATTACAGGTAGTCCTCGAGTTATAACCATAACAGAGTCTGCCCATTATGGTCATAAGTCATGATTGTTGTAAAGTAAGTTGATCGTGTGACTGACCTAATTTTACAACCTTTTTTGGTGGCATTTGTTAAGCAAACTAATTAAGCAAATACATGGTTAGCTATGAGCTAGTTTTGCAAAAACTTGAAGTAAATGCTGATTGTTAACAAAACCATCACAAAACACAATCATGTGACTTTGGGACATTACAAAGAAGCATAAAGACAGCATACCCAAAGTGGCAGGGGTGGCAATCATCATAATCCAGGTCTTAAGTACCCCCTCCCCCAAAGTAAATCTATTGAACTTCAAATGGTCCAAATAGAAGGGAATGTTTATACCCAGGGTTGAACTGTGGGGTCCTTGATGCTCTCTTGTGCTTGGCTGGTTGTCAAATGGTTGCTAATGATTGACTAAAATACTTGTAAGATTACTAAGCAGACCCATTTATTTTCAGAGGTGAATATTTGCAACCCTTCTTTTTCAAAATGAAATAAGAAATCTAAACATAATTCTTGACTTCATATACATGACCCAAATGCAATCCTTGGGAACTGTGTAGGCAAGTAGATCATATAAATAACAAGCCTGAACTTGCCATGTCTGGAAGATTCAATTTATGGAGGAGTTTAGTGAAAAGTATCTGGCAATAATAGGTTAAAGAACTTGCTGTTAGGGCAAAAGGGTGTGGCAGGAATAAAAAGCAATTTCTGGAATTCTAGACTCAATGTTGTCTCCATACCAGTCTCTCTCAGTCAGCAGATTAAAGTACTCTTCAACTTCTTCTTTTTAACTTCAGTAAGAGCAGCAACATCTGCTGACAAAATGAAGATTAGCATTTGACATTCTTTTCCTTCTTTTTGGGTGATCAATTTATTTAAAGTCATCATAGTATCATATACAAATAAAAAATATAATAGGGAAAGGGGCAGAAAAGGAAAAGAAAGGATTCAGGCAAAGGGGAAAAGAAAAACACAGACTTCTAACTTCTTTTGGTGCAGTAACCTACAGAACAGAATTGTAGCCTCAGCTTTTTACTTTACTTTACTACTCAACAGATGCTATTTATTTCTATAACAAGAACCTATATAAATTAGCAAACCTGAATGTCAACAGTTCATTTTTTTCTATCTTAAGCAGGTTGGATAAAAATTGATGATTTTTAAAAATAAAAAAATGGATTTTAANTACCTACCTACCTACCTACACACACACACACACACACACATATACACATACACACACACATACATACCCCCCCACATACACACACTGAAAACAGTGTATTGTCTGTGTCCATTTCATGTTACAGACAAATGACAATTGTTCTGATAATAATGGTAAGAATGAAAATGGTAAGTGTTTTCCATTTGTGTAGTGCTATAGTATAACCAACAGTTTTTTGCCGATACTATCTTTGTTTCTTTCACCTATCCATCAAGAACTATACAGTTTCTTTATTGGTTTTCCATCTGTATCTGGTCTATTGATTCTTTATAGAAACTCTGTGTCTTAGCGTCTTTCTCATATATATCTAGATTATACTTGCAGACACCATGCTAGATCCATAATACATGATCTAGAACATACAACTCTAAAAGGATCTCCTTCAAGCAACTCATTCAATGCACTTAATCCATGAATGTTCCTGCTCCAAATAAGCCCTGGTTCTCATGTATTTCGGTCTCAAGACATTTTAATATTCTTGAGAATAATTTGACATGGATAGTTATTCCTAGAATATTGTTCTTCTAGTCTCAATCATCATGCCTTGTCCCAGTGGTTCCTCAATGTTTTTCTTTGCTTAAAGCACTTAAGTGATTGTTAATAAAGATTAATAAATTGCTTATATAGAATAATTTAATTCAGGTTGATAGTATGATTTGGTTGATGGACCCAAATTCAATCATAGAGATCACTAGTTTACTTTGCCTTAGTCAAATAACACCACAAACTGCCTTGCCTGGTTACTCCATCACTAGAATGTGGAATGATGTTTTGGGGGTAGAAAAAAGACACATCTGCCTTTACTGACTTTCAGATGTAAATTTTATTTTCCTCTGCATTTTCCTGCTGCAATGTGAAAGTACATAAATATTTCCTCTTAGGTTGCCTCAAATGCCCTGATCTGTTTCGGTTTGAGTACTTTACTTTCTGACAAGGTAACTCTGAGCTATATCAGCTATTTCACAGGGGAAGGAATGCAGCTTCAACTATGCCAGTACTGATGATTGATTCTAATACCTTTTAGATCCCAATAACTTTTAAATACAAGACAAGGAATATAATGAAGGCACTAAGGCAAAGATTGCCAATTTAAAATCTGCAAGAAATATGTTTCACTTCTATTATTATTAATCATTAAATTATTTTATTAAATCAATCCTATGACTTCCTATGCTTGCTTGCTTATTTGATTGATTTAGAATAATACTGCCACTTCACCTTAGAGATAAAATAACTCACAATTTTAATAAAAGCGTAACTCTGGTAAGCCAATGAGCTAACTCAAGGTTCATGAATGCTGTACAAGTAGTCCTCACTTCTGACCACAAATGAGATCGGAAGCAAGATGATTGTTTAGTGAGTCATGCCCAATTTTATGACCTTTGTTGGCAACAATTGTTAAATGAATTGTTGCCGTTCTTACGCGAGTCTGGCTTCCCCTGTTTGCTTGCTGAAAGGTGATGGGGAAGATTGCAAATCCCATTATTCCAAGTGCTGCAACGGTTGTACATAACATGTTATGCCATTGCCCACTGCAAGAATTTTATCCTGTGATCTTGGAAATCCTAGGATGGTTGCAAATACAAGGACTGGTTATAAGACATTTCCCTCACTGCCAGTAACTTTGAATGGGCACTAAGTGGATGATTTTGAAACAAGGATTACCTATAATAAGCAAAAGGCCATAGGCAGAATTAGAAGACTTATCTAAAAGTGAAAATATTATCTATAATTCAAATGAAGATTACAGACAGTGAAAGCAAGGGCCATTTACAAAAGTGGAAATTGTTCAGATTTCCATATGTGAAAAGATATTTTTGTTCAAATGAAACAATTCTTGGTGAGATCATCAGGATTCAATAACTCATATCTACATGTCGTAAGATTTAACACAGTTCTGCATCCATGGATACCACGAGGTGTATGTAACCTTTAAAGAAAACAAAATATAATAATAAATTCACATTTCTGTTAAACTTGGAAAATTAAGCTATTCAAAATCTTAGATACATTTGTTCTTTAAAGTAGCTATACTTTTACCTATCAGAATTTTAGCCAGTCTTACAGAAACTTGTAAAAATAGCAGCTGTTCTTTAATTTTGTAAACCCTTAAGGGGGAAGGGCCTCTCTTTATTTGCTTTTGACATCGTTAAAAACTAATTTGCACTTAGACTTTAATGTGGAATAATTATTTAACACAGATTCAGTTTATTTGGGTACAATTTATAAATTTTGTAAACACATCTCAGGAAAGAATCTTG